GAATGGAATACATTGAAACACATATTCATGTAATAAATAAATTGATTCGATGATTAAGAAGAAAACAGAACCTAGCCGATTGGTAAGCGGCTATTGGGAGGAAACTGCACCAACTGATTCTTAGAAGCCATTTCATCATTTTGTTGTGAAGTGAATGACACGCAGCTACGTCCCTACACTCGTGTAATTCCCAACTCTACAGAGCAACATCGGTGTAATACGAAACTTGTACAGTCATAACCCTCACAGCCGAGGTATGGAGGTCGAATTGACAGAGGACTAGAGCGTTTCGCCACTATCGCAGTACCGGAGTTAACGCAGTCGGTCGACTTCGCAGCATTTGCCGTTAGCACCTGATCTATACTTTGTGATTGGCCACATTTTACGACCGACGCATACATTGGCTTTCCGGGCGGTGGCTACTTATTACAACAATTAAATATGATATGATGATTATAGATTGTCTAGTAGATTATAAGACTAACATCTTTTGCTCTGCTATAACAACGCGGTTTCTGAGTATGGCAACCAAAAACCATTAATCACTACAAATTTAATACATAAAATATATTTCGTTTCGAAGCTCACAGCTGGTGCACAATACACAAAAAATGTATACGAATAATATTCGAGAATTTCAAAGTTCAGAAGTTAACGAACGACAAAAGCGAGCAGGATTTACAAGCATCAATGTGCGCAACAACTGAAGTTAAGAACAGACATGAACTGAGAATGCTCTCAGTCTTCACTTTCACTGGAACTGGAATCACTGCTACCCCAGCCTTTGTTGTCCCAGCCCTTGTGCCATTTGTGTGACCATTCTTGGCCACTTGGATCGTGCCATCGACGTTCATACAGGTTTTTCATCAGACCGTGTCCAGACCCAAAGCCCAATCCATACTAAATACAAACGAAACGTTTAAACAACGCAAAAATACAACTAACACCTACGTACCGAAGGATAAATCAACTTGCTCAAAGCGTAAGCGCCTATTCCAGCAGCTGCCCCGGCTACAACGCCTTTCAGAAGGCTCGATTTGTGGGTCTTATGACCAGGGATGGGGCTGTGGTCAGGAATCGGCATTGGACACGATTGGCGCTAAAATAGTAACGATAACCAGCTACGTTACAGCAAAAAATACTTCACACAAC